TCGGCATACAAACAACAGGAGTTTTATAAGCCTGTCCTTCTTTCCTACTTGGGCAGCTGAGGACGCACTCTGTGCTCTCAGCTCCAGAGTCGGAGTTAACCAGGGGAGCTATGGGGTTGGAAGCAGAAGAACAGAAGAAAACCTTGAACCTGAGCAGGCAGAATCAGAATGTGTCTCAGGCCAGCAGACTTGGCGATGGAATCAGACGTGTTGTTTGCTTCCTCCCAGTCGGAGTCAGCTGGTCAGTCCTGAAGCCAAGAATAGAAGGTGGCCGAAAACAGGAGCAAACAGCCACTGGCCTGGCTTTCCCTTCGGGCAGCCGATGACGGACCGGTCAAGATTCTTCTCCCTAGGCATCAGGCAGAGGTCACAGTCAGGAAATGTTGAAGGAGCTGCTCTTCAAGGTGGGGGAGGGGGAGAAATGATACAAAGTGGCCTTCCCTTGAGCTCAGAGCTCAGCATTCCCTGCCTATAGAAGAGTTCATATGAAACCTCCAGTGAAAAGGGAAAGTGGGGCGTGCATTTCGCTCTCAGCACCTGGGGGTGCTGCACTTGAGGAGCTGATAGCGTTGAAGGATCTAGATTGCATGCAAGTGTTAAGAGGGCCAAGTATGATGTATCTCAAAATTCATCTGAGAGAAAGGAGTCTGGCTGCTCTGTAAGACAGAAAAGATAACCAGACACTGACCCGCAGCCTCTGAGTAACACGGCAGAAGTGCAAGGTTCCCTTTTCCATGAGTGCCTGTGGGGAGAACTTTGTCTGCAGTGCTTGGGGCATCCTTCTTGGGCTGCACTGCGTTTGTTGTGTCTTGACAGATCTGAGTGTCTGCTCTCGGGGTGGCGGTGGTTGCCTGCTCCTGCCCAGAGCATCCATCGCTGCAGCGCGCCTTCTCCTTGAGCCTTTGAAGCAGCTTCCCTCTGCTCCTAGGGTTTGTTTGTGTTCCATTTCAGAAGCACCCAAGAGAAGGATGGGATTTCATTATTTCTTTAGCTTTTGCTCTGAACCTTTCATATTTCCTGTTGGATTCTCTTCTGGTCAATTTCTGCACACCCTGAAGTGTGAAAAGTATTATAAGAGAGAAATGAGAAAAGGCCAATTTTTTAAGAGCTTGGAACAAGGCAGAAGATGTCATCTCTGATAGACTGTGACTGGAGGGTGTTGTTCATGAAAGTTGCTTTGTTAAACTAGCCCCATGGCATCAGTAGACTTCCAGAAGGTTCCCAGGACCTAAGTGGGGTTGCTGAATAAGCTGAGCTGTCAGCAGCTTGCTCTGTTCAGAGAAGCACCATCCGCCTCCCAAGCCCAGCCTACTGCTGGATCTTCCCATGGAAAAACAATTATGACCATAGTGGTTGCCATTCCGTAAACACTGACGACAAGCAGGGCTGACCCCTGCTCACTCTGTGACCCATGCCTTGCACACAGGGGACCAGGAACTACGCTGAACTAATGCGGTACCAGGGAGGTGGATTCTTAGGCGCCAAACTGTTTCCCCATTGTAAATTTCTACTTACAACGTGGAAAGTGCAGCTGGGATCTGGATATAATGTGCCCGGAGAAGTATTCTATGGGAAAGTGATTCTGCAGGAAATGGGGGAGCTGGACCTTGCAGTAGCTGGAGGAAGACCACTTGAGACTGAAGGAAAGATAAGAGCAGAAGCGTTAAGGGAAGTTTTTAGCTGTCCAAACTGAGCAAGCAGGAGGAACAGGGCAAGTGGGAGAGGGAAGGTGGTCCGGCCTCCGAAAGATGGAGAAGCCTTGCAGGCCACTGTGAGCGAGACTCTGTATTTGTCTGCTTGAGTCAGTGGAGCTTGGGAGTGCTGTCCTCTGGCTTTCACAGTCAGTGCATCACTTTGTAGGATTGAGAAAAGACACTAAGGCAGCAAAGGATGAAAGGAGTGGGACCAATTAGGAAGCTAATGGAAATATCCGAATGAATAAAGACTTGAATCCCGCATCTTAAGGCTAAACAGCTGGAGAAAGGGACAAGCCATCCTTCAGGGAGAGCACAGTCCAGCAGGAACCTGGTTTCAGATGTCTGGTCAACGTCAGAGGAGTCAGGCAGGCATTGAGATATCTGAGTCTAGGCCTGGGCTTAGGAGTCAGGAATGGATAAGACCAGCTGGTGTAGCCAGGAAATACCAGAGAAGGGTTGAGCAGTAACACCTCAAGGAAGGTCAGACAGTGGGAACCAGCAGCAGAGCCTGAGACACGGGAGGGAAGGAAGCGTATGTCTCATTGAGGAAGGAATAGAAAAAGTCCTTCCATTTCCCACGGAGTGGGCCCACTGAGGACAGAAAAAGTGGAGACCATGGAGACACTGCTTGGGGAGCTCTCTTTCCTGATCAGCGAAGTTGAGTGAGAGTTGTGTTGGCTTCAGGTTGATTTGATGGAAGCTGTCACAGCCTCTGTGAGAATGTTCCATTAAAGACCATAAAATGAATGTCTACAGGGGAGGAGTTTACTGCAAATTACTGCATAGCTCCCAGCAGAGCAGACAAGCAGTCCGCCTTCAGTAGAATCTGAGAGGTTGAAAATATGCTTTTGTGGTTAGATTTGAATACAAATTCTGTTGTATTTTCTGAACCAAAGTCATGGTGGCATGAGGTATAAGATGGTAACAGGAAGGAGATGGGAGATTTGCAGAAAATATTTCCAGAGTTAAAGGGGAACTCTAAATATAAAATGGTATACTTTCAAGTCTGTTGATTTCACTGGCCAAAAAAAAAAAAAAATTGCATTTTTGACAATAGTTGTAAGACTATTACGTCTTTTCTTAACCCCCAAGTGGTTGGATTTCGTAGTAAGCCAGGTTCAGATGGACTAAATTTGCCTTAACAGTGTGTATGGCAAAGAAATTGCGAGGCAATAAGCAAACGAAACTGCGAAGGAATAGTTACCATTCGTTTGCAGAAGTGTTGCCTGCTCTTTGATGGAGAGCTGTGCTGATTGTTGGTGTCCCTCCCTCCTGCAGACTGACAGTCCTTTTTCGGCCTTCATTTGGAGAAAGCATGGACTGGTTTCACAAGAAGTCTGCAATGTTCATTTCAGGTGCATTTTGTCAGCGCTGTGTTGTCACATGTCCGTGACTTCCTCTTCCAAAGGCATTTGTGGCAACAATGAAGTAGCCCCATTACTAACAGTGACAGCTCACATGAGTCACGTGTGTGTAGTGCTTTACCTGGTATTAGAACTTTGTTTCATTCAGGATGGAAGGGACTGTCTCTGTTGGAGGCCCTAGGAGTGCAGTGTGCACAAGTGCCCTGCCTCGCGGAGTTCAGCTTGGGCTGCACAGCAGAGCAGCCTGGTGAGAGAAGTACGTCAAGCTCTGTTGTTATTCCTCGTTACAGATAAAGACATTCTGATGCTTAATTAGAACTCAGATTTAAATCACCACTTTTCTGGGAACTTGGAGCCCAGATAAAATTTTATTACCTGTGTCCTGTTTTGTTTTTTAAAACTTCAAAACTTATTACTACTATACATGTCCCTAGAAATGTCATTGTCTTTAAAATGAGCTGAGCTGATCCAAAGGTGGGTCCTGGAACCAAGTTCCTACAGATACTTACAGCCCAACCAGAGTGTGAAGTATACAGTGGCTGCTGGAGACAAGACAGGAGGGCTTCATGGGCCCATGACACAGCTTGGTAGACAAGTTTTTGAAGGTGAGAGACAAAGATTCGCCCCAGTGTGGGCTGGGGAATAGCATGATGTTTAGAGAGGGAACTGAGAAAAGTGGAGCTGACACAAGGACCTCTTGTTCAGACCTGAGGATCTGACTTCCTTACAGCACGCCTATTACTTGGCAACTGTGCTCGCCAGCCATCCTGGACTAAGCAAGGGGCTAGGTGCAGGCAGGTGCGATTGTGTCCAGAGAACAAAGTCTTACATTCCTGGCAGGTGCTGGTGGGAGGCTGGGGAATGAGGAAATGGTGAGGCAGGGGAGCCTGGTTTCTATAACTTGCTGTTTTTCTGAAGTGCTTTGTGTGGCCGCCCTCCCCTTTCCTTGCGATGATCTGTGTAGGATCTGCCTGTGGCCCCGGGGGGTGCTCACCGCGCTTGCTGAATATGTATGGGTGCTCTGCCATTTTCAGTGATTCAATTTCACAGTGTCTTTGAGAACGATCGAACTTGGTAAAAAGAACTTTGGAAAGGCCAGGTCAGAAAGTCCCCCTCAGTTTCTGGTGTTTAACTTTTTTTTTTCCCTAAAACTCTAGGGAGTGGGTGTTGGTTTGTGTGGCATTTGGCTCTGATCAAATGCTATTGCCTTCGATTGTTAATGGTACCGTGGAATTCAAGGTACAGAAGTGATTCATTAGACTCACGAATGCTGTTTCTGGAAGTTTCTCTTTGAATACCAGCACTGAACATCCCCTGCTCCAGCCACCCTCTTGCCACCTCCGGCACAGCTCCCCTGGGTGGGAGTGTGGGTGGGGCAGAAGGGAACTTCTGTTAACCACAGGATTCTGCTCATGACAGCATCTTAAAGCCTCAGGGCCTTCAAGATTCATCAGGTGAATGGGATGACTTAATTTTTTTTAGAAAAATCATCTTATTGTAACATTTGCTGTCAGTCATTAAAGATGTTAAGATATTTGACCTAAATTGGTGGGTTTTTTCCCCTCATCTTTCTTGAATTTAATGAAAATATTTATTCTGTGAAAGTGACAACACGAAGGGTGTTTCTGTTCTTTTTGACAAATGTAAGACACAATTTGCTTTTTCCTAAATGTGAATGTGTTGGGAATTTCTCTTGATATACACTAATGTGTAATTGATCTTTTTCTCCCCCAGCCAACCCCAAATGTTTTTAGCAAAAAGGATGATTCAGAAGTTATTAATCAGACCTTGGGTACCCTAAGACAGTTTGTATGAGTTGTTTTTAAAAGAAATGTAATTCTTTGCATTTTATCATTTTCCTCTTTCCTGAATGCTACCTTGGTAGCCGTTGTGTTTTAAATATTGACAAGATGAGATAGTTTTCTGTTTATATCAGCAGTCGTCAGTCTGTGAGATATGGACCAATCAGAACGCTGGATTTCCTTTCTCAGCGATCCATCAGGTTCATAATGTAAGGTTACACGTGGTTACTGCTTCCTGAACTTGCGCTGTGTACTGTGTTGCAAAGTGTCGTCAGCAGCTCTAGGTACCATGTCCTGGCAACGCAGACAGTGTGTAACGTCTGGTGCCCTCGGGTTCCTTGTCTGGTACACTTCGTTATCTGTGCCTTGTGCCCAGTTGATGTCCGAACGTTGTGCAAAAGCGAGAAGCGTACTTGGTTTTCAAGTCCATAGTTAAAATCTGTCCCGTGTGAGTTTTGGCTTTCATTCCCAGCATCTGTGTTAACTTGCTTTCACAGGAAGAGGGTAAATTGATGTGTACACACACACCCACACACACACGTATCTGTGCTGTTGTTCCTCACTTTGTACTTGCCCACATCCATGGGCTCCTCAACCCTTTGTGTCTCAAAGATGGATGCGCTTTACGTGTGAGCCCTAGTTGAGTCTAATTTGCATGATACCATATACATTTTTGGTGAATGTGGGAGGAAGACAGGCCGGGAAAGGCACTATGAACAGCTACAATGTGGTTCTCAGCCTTTTTCCACTTGAAAACACCCAATCAGTCTTTGAAACGTGTGTGAAATGGTGATCCTTTTTACTCTGACCTGCTTGACATTCAGATGTTCACATTTCACCTTTACAGATTTTAGGGTGAAAAAAAAAAGTTTTTTCATTTGGAAAGTAAACGTTCTACTATTTTGATGTATTTTTTTTTTTTATGTTTTCTATTTTTAAATGCAGTCTTATTTCCCCATCCGGCTAAGCCGCTCCCATTGGATAGCCTGCTGTCTGCGAGGTGGAGACGCTTGGTTGAGAATCACAGAGTTGGGGTGTTGGGGGGAGCATGCAGAAGACCTGGGATGGGTGTTACCCGGCGTCCTCCTATGCATGGCACTGTGGCTCCTGAGGGCCATGGGGTCTGAACGTTGGTGTCCGTGCTCTGGTGACCCAGAAACTCCTCCTGAACGTGTAAAATGCTGCCCGGAGCTTTTATGTGTTCAGAAGTGGCCATCTCTGCTCTTGATCACCAAAAGGAACAAATGCAGTAGAGCCAACTGTGGTTGACCAAATTGGCATTCTTTATTCTTGAACAATCTTTTTCAAAAGGAATTCTGCAGCATCCTGTGTGTGACCATTGGCAGGAGACCTTTTCCTTACATTCTCATGCCAGATCCGAGCGCACGTATTTGTGTGCGCAGAGCTGTACGTTCTGGTCTCCCGGGCCTGAGCCATAGGGAAAGGAGACATGGTCACGCCCATCATGTTTACATCGCGACAGTCCATCTGTGAGATGTATCAAGATTATTGAAAGTAAAAGCCTTCAAATAACAATTGTCATTTTAAATCCTCTTCAGTTTTCATGACCTGTTCTGAAGAAACAGAGTGTTATTTGTTAATATTCAGTTCTAAATTTACCAGCAGGTAGGTGGGAACAGTTCCCAGTAGAAAAGCTTCTCTTACAAAAAGTTAATTAAATCCTAATGTTAAAAACTTTTTTAAAATAATAGATTTAAAACTTGAAAATGCCATGCCTTTCTGTTAATGTTTGAAAGCTAGGTCATCATCATGAGTTTTAATTATTTGCTAATGTATTTAGGGAGCTTGGAAGGAAAAGTGAGAATGTGCAAGACTTTTTCCCCCACACATTTTCCGAGCACGCGGAGTATGTAACTCGCAGTTTCCCTGTCGGGGGAGAGAGCCCAAAGACGCAGTGTGAGTCAGGATTGCCTGAGATGTCTGCTGACTCTGAACACAGAGCCATCTAGCAGCTTTTGAAGTCTAAAAGGCATATTTTGAAATCTGCAATCCAATAAAATCTGGCAATATACAGGTCTAAATTTCGGCAATATAGAGGTCTAAATTTCTCATATGACATGGCAAAATTTGGCTAGCAGTTATATATTTTTCATGTGGTGGTCACTTTAACACTTTACATGTGGCCCAATTTGAATTCATCACACAGGACCAAACTTTGGATTAACCCTTGACAGTTGGTAAATTTCTGTTATACAGAATCGACTGTCCACTTAAAACTGTAATTTCAAGTCCCGTTTTTCTTTTGTGTTACCGGTGAATTTCTGTGCAGAGCTGAAGAGATGCTTATTGATGTTGGTTGTCCTCTGTTTCATTGCTAGACTTTAGTGTGCTTATAAAAACTGGAAAAAAAAAGCCTTAAAGCACATATGTAAAAAATAATAAATACCAAAATAACAAATACCAAATCAATGAGGCTTTATGTCATGATCCAAATCTTGGAATAGTAAGATCACTGAAATACATGAACCCAAAGGAAAGATTGTTCTGCAAGTACTGTAGGCTCTGAGGGAAGTGCATGTTGCAGATTCCTTGAGTCATTTCCATTGCTCTTCTGTAAGTGCCCGAGGAAGCCCTCTGCTCGTATCTGTGTCGGTCATGGTTTAAAGCAGGATGGAATCCTACCCCAAACTTTGCCTACTTCCTCCTGTTATTCTGTTTAAATATTCTGCCATCCTTGTATCCATGCATGACATTTCATTAAAGATAAGCTTTGATTACGAATCGTTATTTGAGGCAAAGATTTCCGTAAGTGTGCTTAATTTTTACTTAATATCTCATGAGCATTTTAATTTAAGCGCAAAGTTATTACATTTAATTAAAAATGAGCAAATGCAGATATTGTGTGGGTGTAAATGTACAACTCAGGAAGACCTAACAATGCGCTTCATGGTACAAAATTATTTTGTTTGAGACAAAAAAAAAAATCTTTATTGTTTGGTCTCTTCTGCCACTCTGTACTCACTCTTGCCAGCCCTTCTGTGGCTTATTCCTGCTGTGACTGGCTGCCAGGAGGCTCGAGCCCTAAGGCACCCGTGTGCTCTGAATTCTTTTGTTCTTACTGACAGCCAACCCAAATCCTGGCCAAGGGCCAAGGTCGTAGCTGTGCTATGAGACAGTATGGAAGTCCTGTTATTGGAGCCCTTCCACTCCCATTCAATTCATTCCAAAGTGAAAACTCAACATCTACCACTTGAGTCTTTTAAGCATTCTTAGATCTAAGATTTTTAAGAGAAACCAAAAAAAAAAAAATTGAATTATGAAAAAGAAAAAGTATTTTCTTACATATGCCATCTTAACGACATTTTTCCCTGGGTTCAAGAAATGAATTTCTGGAAATAGCACTTTGTATAAGAAAACTGTTTCCAAAATTGCACAGATTCTGGCCCTGTAGGGTGTTTGAAAACATTTGGGCTGGAACAATGCTTTAAGGACACAAGAAAAATTAAGGAAGGATTCTGTTTCGCATTAAAATGATCGCCCAACCTGGTTAGCTCAGGGAGGTTCCGTCAGATCACTGTGGATTCAAAGCAGGCGTTTTGTGGCTTTTGGGAAAAGTAGAGCAGATGATGGCACTATCTGTGTGGAGTCTGGAGGCTGCACCACTGGCTTCTCGGAGTAGCCGTGGGGCAAGAGAGCGTGATGGTTCCCAGGCTGAGGCTGTGCAGCTTGTCCATGCTGCAGCCTGTTCCTCCTGAGTGGCTGCTCCCTTTTCTGTGGATGATGTAAATATTTGGATCCGCATTTGGCTGCAGTTGTGCTTCACGTGGATGGAGCTTACATTATACTTTAATTGTAAAAGTGTGTGAGATAATTGAACAATTAGAGAATGGATTTGCATACGATGTGCATGCTTAATACACTAATTCACGAAATTGTCCCTGTAACCTTAGCTTCACCCACCAGTTCCCACCATAGCCCTACTGCCAAGCCTTTCCCTGCAACGCATAGCCCACAGCTCCTGCCATGTCTGTCCAGGCTTTTTTTGGGAGTGTGCCTGCTGAGCCTGGCCAAGGTATTCCCCAGCTAAACTGTACCAGGGCTAACATAAAGATGCCATGCTTGGTTTGAGTGGTCACAACACTGCAGGATCTTTTGGTGCCGACCAAATCCTCCTCTTGTATCATCCCACGGAGTTGCGTGCAAACTTCTGTTGTTCTGTTAACAGTGTTACCTGTGACTTATATGTACAGTACCTGTTTGCTGTGTTATTATTTCTTTATCAGGGGAGGTGGGGGCAGAAGGGAAGAAGTTGTTAATGGGGAAAACTGGAGGATTGCTTGTTAGATTTGGGGAGACGTTTTCTTCAAGAACTAGCTGGTGTCACTTATAGGTTATTCAGCTCAGCTTCAAAATCACATTGAAATCCGAAACTCCATTGAATTTTATGCTAGCTTTTTCAAAGCAAACCACAGCTAGTTGAAGTAGAGACTAGAGAGATGATAAAAAATCCAGGCATTTGCAAAGCAGGGAAACAAAAAAAGCAAGCGAGGGAGCTAGGGCAAGATTTCTAAAATTGCAGTTGGTCGTTGCTTTGGCAAAAGAACAGTTCGTGTAACTGTAAAGAGACTAACTCAAGAAGCATCCAGGCATGGGTCAGAAAACATGAAAAGATGCAAACGTTAAGATCACGAGGTGAAGTCTTCATACTCTAGATGGACAAGGAACAGGCATAGCAAGCAGTGAGTAAGTAAATCAGATGCCACCAAAGCCGCAGAGGGTGAGTGAGGACAGAGCATGAGACAGGCTGGCGGAGCTCAGAGGGTTCATGCATTTTGGAGAGACCGATGTTGAAGAGGGGAGCTGCCAGCTGCCTGTTGCTATGAAGGAGCCTCTGAAACCCTGCAGGACTCCAGAATTATTCCAGGTCTTCAAAACCAGTGAGAAATTTCCAGAACACAAGGTCTTCCCCTCGTTCTTCCAGTCATTGACAGCTGCCTCACATTCCACCTATTGTAAGCCCAAGCTGCCCAGCGGAAATTGGAATGCTGGTCGTTCTTCCCAAAATGTGCACCCTATGTAGCTATTCCTGCAGAACTGGGAGCTCCCTAGATTCCTCCCTCTCCCCCAAAAAAGTCCATGATAACAGTGGACTTCCTTTCTCTCCCAAAACATGCACCTTCATCTAAAAATTTGTACTTGTGTCCTGAATTCCTTGAACATTCTCCGTAAGAAATCCTACAACAAAAGAAGCCGTTTACTAGTAGTTCAGTGGAACATGGTCTCTAGCCAAATTTGTATTTGGTTTCGAAGCTCATAAGACATGGTTATTATCTTCTATAAATTCCCATCATTCTGTGAGATCAGCCAAATCTAGTTTTTAGAAGAGAATGGCTTTGGAAATCTGTTTAAAGTAATGTCGATTTAAGAATAAAATAGTGAATTTTGAGGAGTCAGAATCTTTACCCCGGAAAAACAGCAAAACAAAAATCCCATGCACTCTGTAAATCAGGCGAGAGCCAGAAAAACCATGCCAAGGGAGACCTTGCAGAGGCTCACACCAAGCCTTCATGTTAATAAACCAAGTTGAGGCTAAACCTCACGCAAAGTGGTAAGTGATGTAGGTCAGCAGGCATGGGTGTTATTCCATACACTGCCCAGTGTACACGAGCTTGCAGTCGTACGTTAGGCTTCCCCAGCGTACGCACACACAGATGAAGCAAGCTTGGCACTTTAGTGATTCATGCTCACGGGTGTTTGGGGTTTCTGAGCAAGGTAGCAGAGCATGTCCAAGACAGTCGTGGTGACAGCATCAACACAGTTGAATTCAACAAGAGAAACTAGCTATTAGTCATCAGTAGATTTTTCAAATAATACCGTGCACAGTACCCTACTTATCTCCAAAGATATAAAATTATTCAGGGAATGTGGTATATAACATTATTTGGGAACTGAAATTTATGGAACTCTGCATTCTGAACGTTAAAGCAACTCAGCGTAACTATTTGAAATAGTCAAGTCTAAAAGAACTTCCTTTCAAAGACCATGTATTCGTTTCTGTTGTAACAGAAAACAGTAAATTCATAGAGAATTTGTTCATATCATCATGTTTTATATTAAAATTAGGCTATTATTCCAAAAACTAAGTTATTTCCTTCACACTTAATATGCTCATAAAAACTTGAAAAACCAATAAAAAGTAACCACAAGGCATTTGCACATTCGTAGCCCACCTGTAGGAAGTGAACTCAGGCTAGCTTTGGGGGATGAAGTTAGCGTCCTGTTCATACTGCGTCTAGAATAAATGTCATTTTCAGACAGGAGACTGGGGAGAACCTTCCATTACCTTGCGACCTCCAAACGAAGCCACAGCCTCGACTCCAGTGCAGTACTGGCAGCATCACCCGGAGAAGCTCATCTTCCAGTCGTGTGATTACAAAGCTTTTGTAAGTTACCCTGAATTCAGTCTTTGGGTCCGAGATGGGAGACGGGCTCTGTTTCTGCTTTATTTTTATTGAAAATATGCCAAAATGGCCATTACTGATATTTCTAAAATCGTTCCTCTTGGTGTAGCCTCCTATGCAAAGAGAAAAGTCCATGCAACTAAAACTTAACCCTTTTAGCTTGGAAGCTGGAGTCTTATTTTGTCACCATTTTATATACCGTGTGTTTTGGAGTAAATGTGTTAATGCGTAGTTTTACAATGAAAATAAGTATGAACATATCACAGGTTTACATTGTCACTTGATCTCAGCACTGGGTCCACCGCTTCACAAAAATACCTCACTTTGCATTGTCATCAATAATAGGTTTCTATTGCATTTTTCTTTTAAGAGAAGAGGAGATAGTTGTGCTTAGCTATTATGAGTAGCATTCATCAGGTAAATGTTTAAAAATACTGTGGGCTTGGGGCAGGTGGTGGTTGTCATGACAACAGCAGGAAAAAGTGGCTAAACACTAACTAGTGCATAGAAACTGCCTGCCTTAAAAAAAAGAAGAAGAGGCATTTCAATTAGGTCAAATTTTCCTGATAATTTAAAAGATGGAGTTTGTTGTTGTTGTTGTTGTTGTTTACCAAGATCATCTTCCTAAATATCATTAACATGTGAGTGCTTTGGTTATCTCATAGCAATTTGGACTCTTTTTAGAAAAAAATCATTTTCTGCTATCTGCTGCTTGACTGCTTCCTTATCTTGCAGCCTTGGGATTATTTTACTAGTAATCACCCAAAACCTGTGAAGGTGAATGGCTCCTGCCTCCCCAAGGCAAGCCCAGTACGCTGAGCCTTTCCTCCTGACCTGAGCCCTTGTGGCCTTGTACACGTTATTCACATCAGGACCTCTGGTCTACCTCGCTGATACCCGCCACTCTTGGTAGTGTCCAGGGTGTCCCAGGCTATTGTCAAGTGTCCTTCCAATCGCTTCTGAAATAATTCTTTCCAACCACTGTTTTTAAAGATGTTTGGATCCTTTAGCTGAAGGCACTAAAGAGGAGGGGGAAAAATGACAAATGAAGGAATCCTGTTGAAGCTTGCAACTGCCTGCCTCTTGCCGGAAGCAGCAGCTTAGATGGTGCCCTGTGCCTGCCTACTCCTGGATCCGCTCGCCTGACAGCCTGCTAATCACTGGGACGAGCCGTTCTCATACTTGTACCTGTATCCGGGCATCCAAGCCCACCGGGGGCTCCACTCTAACTTCTGCTAATAATTGAGAACAGCCCTCCCTTCCGTGCACTGCCCCACACGCCAGTATTCTCAGGTGACTTTACATGGGCATAGAGCTGTGCAGATCCGCCTCTCGGAGAGCAGTCCAACAGTAATTACCTATGCAGCCCAACAAGCCCAACTGGGGGGGACCACATTGCTTGGTCTCTCAGCTGTCTCACACAACCCTGTAATTACACTCAGAGTAGCATGATTTATTTTTGCAGACATTGCTGCCTCAAAAAAAAAAAAAGAAAACATTTTTAGCTGCCCCCATTTTGCAGTTAAATATTAGATGACAACTTTAGAAACTGCTGTCATTTCATTATAAAGAGCAATATACAGCCCCTCCTGGAACTTAACAGTTAATCCTGCTGTCCTCTGATTTATGACTGTATTTGTTAGATTAGCTACTGTTCACTTCTGGTAGGTTTTGGATTTTGTGTGTGTGTGTGTGTGTGTGTGTTCATTTGAAGGGCAGGTGGAAACTGAGATCTTCTCTCTGGTGGCTCACTCCCTCCGTAGCCATGACAGCTGAGGCTGGCACATGTGAAAGCCAGGTGCCCAGAACTCCCTCCAGGTCTCCCACGGGGTTGGCAGGGGTGCGAGACCTGGGTTGTCTTCTGCTGCCATTCCGGGATAAGAAGTGGAGCAGGTGGGACGAGCTGGTACTCTAATATGGGATGCTGGCCTCACGAGGGGTAGCTGAACTGGCTGCACCACCACATGTTGGTTTGAAAGAGCCGTACGTTAATGAGTAGGCAGGAAAGCTAGCTGGTAGAACTTCCAGTTTGTTTTTAAGCAGTTACTCATACTTTTCTTCCTAAAGCACTGTAATTTTTTTGTGTGTATCTTAGTATTTAGGTTCTATGCTGATCAAAGAGCTCAGGGGGACAGAATCAACCCAAGATGCTTGTGCCAAAATGCGGGTAAGTGTGCCACACTGTTTTATCTCTAGTAGCTGAAATACTAAATACTGGCTATGGATACAAATTGCCACCTTTCAAATTGCTATTTTCTTCATCCACTGGATCACATTAAGTTGTATAAAGTAAAGCTGCGTGGGCTTTGTTCATGTTTGTGCTGAGCTCATGTCACAGTTTGAGGTAGTGTCTGTTCGATCTGTGTACTCCACGTTATATTTCTTTCAGTATTTTTAAAGGTTTAAAGTTCATTGTATACTCATTGGCCATTCTCCATTAGGACAAAAATATTTAGTTAAATGAGAAAACATTTTAAGCACTTTTATTACAGTCTAAGAATATTGGTTAAAAAGACTACCAGTTAACTAAACATGACCCAAGCAGAGGCACTGTGAGCATATCGCATAAAGCTGATATTATTCATGAGACTTAATTATTTCTTAAAAAGGAAAAGCAGTCAGCTCTTACAGGAGAGAACCAGAGGCAAAATTCCAAATGTCTCTGATGTGCACCTGGTTGCCTAGGGGTCTGTTTTTTGCCAAAGCAAATCCCCCTGGTACTACTGATCTACCTGGAACCTGCTGGCCTAAGTTCATACTTTGCCTCCTCAATAGCAGACATATAGAAGGAATAGCAGTTATCTGCCAGTGTGAATTAGGAATGCTCAAGTCACTCAACACAGCAACTGGGAAGAGTCAAACTTAGCAAACACTCACTTGTATTTATGGTAGGTATAATTTGTCATTTATTGCAATATAAGCAGCCTTGGTTTAAAAATATTGAATAACATAGTTGAGTCAAAACCAGTTATGAGTAAACATAAAATATCCCTTGTTCGTGGAAATATAAATATGTATAAATATATTTTTAAAAGATTTACTTACTTGAAAGAGTTAAGAGAAAGAGAGAGAGTGTCCATCCATTGGTTCACTCTGCAAATGACCACAGTGGCTGGGGCTGGGCCAGGTTGGAGCTGGAGCCTGGAGCTTCTTCCAGGTCCTCCCACACGGTGGCATCAGCCCAAGGGCCTGTACCATCATCCACTTGCTTTTCCAGTCAGGTTAGCAGAGAGTTGGGTTAGAAGCAGAGCAGCCAAGACTCCATGTGGGTGACAGCTTAATGTGCTGCCATGCAGCGCTGGCCCCAGATTCATGACATGAAGGCCTCAGTATGCAAACGCTAGGTTACTGTTTTAATAACAAAAGGGCTTAAATAATTACCCTTCTACTGGTTGTAACCTAATGCTTGAATTGTCTACCGGTGTGTTTCTGTTTCCCGTGTACTGTTAGATGAAAGTGTGACCTTCTGTTTCTGTTGCTACTCACTTGCCTTGGGAGTCACTTCCTAGCTGTAGTAGCATTGCACCTGCTAACAGTCACCAGGTTTGCAATGTGCCCTGGCTCAGTTAGCATCATCTCCAGCATGTGGGTGGAGACACGGAGAGCAGGGAAGGTTTCTAACTTTCACAAGGCCACTCAGGAAGTAATCTGCCAGTCTGGGTCCGTGAGTTAAGTCTCTCCAACTCCGGAGCTCAAGCCTTTTAATGACCACATCCCCCTGCTTAGAAAATGAGAACACTGGATAAGATCCCCTTTAGGATTCTTCCAGTTTTATAAGTGGAAATCTATATACATTCTGAATATACTTATCAGACAATTAAGAAAATAGGAAAACTCTGCAATCATCAAGCCTCAGAATGACTTTGGAGATATTTGTGAAGATGTCTAAGGAATTAATTCACCATCTCTGAGTTTAACACAATTACCTCAACTACCGGAGTCCAGCTACTCCTGTGTTGTCATCGGCATAAATATTGCATAGTGCTTGTAGCACCGTTTAAAATACACCAGATCTGTGATTGGAGTTTCAGTCAATTTCTTGAAATTGTGGGTATCTGAAATTACATCCTGATAGCAATAGCAAAGCCATTTTAATAGTCTCAGTGGAGAACAATTTAGTTAAACACTTGTCTGTTGCTTAAACTACGCCTTGGAAAAAGCTGTCTGTTTGGAAGCCATTCTTCTATTCTTTGCGGCAGTTTTCCGGTTTGCTGCCCTTGATGTTTGTTTTAGGTAGTTTACATGAAAATGGAAATTTTATTGCTTCTTCGACTGTCATAAGCCCTTAGTTCCCATCTTGATTAAATATTTCTCAGGCCTTGAAACGGTAACGAGGCAGCTAGCCATATTACATTCACTCGCTCAGAACCAGCATAGATCTGTTGTCTGGGACCGCTTGCATGTAAATTAGAATGCTCACCAACTAAAAATGGTGTGGATCAACACGGCTTGCAGTTAACCTTGAGTTTGAAGCCAGAGTGATGGTTCTTTCCATTTTCAACCTGCTGGTATTTTAGCCAAAAGTCCCAGTGTAAGCACCTCTCTCCCTGGAAAATATATTACGATGCAGAAGATCTTAAATGTCTATATGTGATAGTACTGTTAGGTCAGAATACTGTGAATTAAAATATTGCCTGGTTAATGTTTTTTTAGAAGTTCTCAGTTCAACATTATAAAAGTCTTTGAAAAACCTCTCTGAAAATGGAAATAAGAGATAAATTTATTTTGATACAAAATAATGGAATCCATGCATAGCTACGTGATAACCCACATTTCCATTCACTTTTTAAAGATCCATCCCCCCCAGGCATGGATTTAAAACAAAAAGTTGTACCAAAATAAGCAAAATTTTGGATTCCATTTTCTATGATTTTTGATTGACTCTGTTTTACGTTTTAACTGAAATCAAAATGTCTTTCCTGCTTGGAAGTAGTCCGTGATTCTGAGAAATGCTTTCTTACATGTATGTTATCAACCAAGCTGATGAGCATTTGGCTCTGCTCCCACTGAGCTGACTATCCAGCGTTTGCCCCCGGAATGAGGGAAGTACTGCAGTGCAAGTGCCCACATTGCCAGTCAGCCCACGGGATCCCCAAAATGCCCTGGTCACTGTCTCCTAGAATCAGCCTCTCAGAGCTAGTACCACTTATGAGAACTTTATCCTGGGCCCGGCACTCATTCCTGTGATCCTTGAGGTAGATGTTGCTATTGTTCCCCATCACACCTGAGGGAACAAAGGACAAAGGAAGTGTAGCAGCGTGCCCAAGGTGTCACACAGAGCAGGTGGCGGAGCCAGGTGTGTGTGTGTGTGTGTGTGTGTGTGTGTGTGTGTGTGTGTGTGTGTGTGTGTGTGTGTGTGTGTGTGTGTGTGAGCTTCACTGATTGATTTACTGTTTCTCACTCAGCAGTTTTGTAACTATAGGGATTCCTCCCTCCTCCTGCCCTTCCTCCCTTTCCCATTTTTCCACTCCTCCCATTTATCCCTGTACAGTCCCTTAGTACAAGTTACAAATTTAACTTCCTGGGATGTAAAGGTATCAGGCCATGGTAAATATAGGCAAAGGTAAAAACATACATAGTATCATAATATATATTTATGAGTTTCATTGAGAATCCTGCTTTTCTCTGCAGTGGAGGCACACACTGTACAGTACCTTTATGCCCTGATACGCTAGTTCCCCTTATCCAGTTCATATATGTATGTTCTTTGTACACTGTGCTGTCTTGTACATATGATATTTGTTCTTCTGAGACTGGCTTACATCTCTAAACCGAATGGTTTCCAGCTGGGACCATTTTCTCATAAATGGTAGGATCTCATCCCTTTTTTTGGCTAAGTAGTATTTCATAGAGTAGATTAGCACACTTTCTTTATCCATTCCTCTGTTGGTGGACGTCTGGGTTGTTTCTGTGTCTTTTCTGTTGTGAATTGTGCTGCTGTAACACAGGATTGTAGGTCGCTCTCAAATACAGATTTGATTTCCTCTGGGTGTATTCTCAGGAGTGCGATGGGTGGGTCAGAGGGCAAGTCAGTTCTCGGTTGTCTGAGCACTCATCATCCTGACTTCCAAATGGTTGCACTAGTTTACATTTCTACCCACCAGTGGCTTAGGACACCTTTCACATGCTTGCTAGCAATTATGTGTTGATTTCTTTCTATGTAGGCCGTTCTCACTGGGTGGAACCTCAGTGTGGTTTTTATTTGCATTTCCCTAATAGCTAGAGGACCTGAACATTTTTTCATGTATTTATTAGTCTTTTTTTTTTTTAAAAAAAATCTTCATTTATTTTTGTTGGAAAGACAGATTTACAGAGAGAAGGAGAAACAGTGAGACAGAGAGATCTTTCATCTGGTGGTTTACTCCCCACATGACCTCAACAGCCAGAGCTGTGCCAGACTGAAGCCAGGAGCCAGACACTTCATCCAGGTCTCCTGCACTGGTGCAAGTGCCCAAAAACCTGAGCCTTCCTCTACTGCTTTCCCAGGCCACAAGCAGGGAGCTGGATGGGAAATGGAGCAGCTGGGACATGAACCAGCACCCATGTGGATGCTGGCACTGCTGGTGGAGGATTAGCCTGTTGAGCCATGGCGCCAGCCCCATGAATTTCGTCTTTTGAAAGACATTTGTTCATGCCCTTGGCTCATTTCTTAACTGGGCTGCTTGCTTTGCTGTTAAGTTTCTGGAGTTCTTTGTAAATCCCGGATATTAGTTCTCTATCTGCTGTGAGATCTGCAAACATTTTTTCCCATTCTGTTGGTTATATCTCCACTTTATTGACTGTTCCCTTTGCATTACATACACTTCCAAGCTTATTCCTCCTCCTTCATCCCTGCCTCCCGCCTACCCGACACTGATCTTTTTGCAGTCTCTGTGGCCACATGGCGGGAATCCCACAGCGTGTCGTAACCTTGTCACACTGGCTTCTTCCATTCTTCCGTGTCTTTTCATGGCCTATACCCCGTTTTTCTGAACAATGCTCTATGACATGAATATACCACAGTTTGTTTATCCATCTTTTTTTTATTATTATTATTCAAGGTCACCTTAGTTACCTCCATATGGGGCAGTGATAACAGAGATGTTGGGAACATTTGTACACAGATTTTTACCTTAAGTTTTTTCTTGGATTCAAAGTGTAATTGATGTCCTTCTTAAAATTGTCTTG